TTATGATTACTCTTTCAAGCTCTGTACTTGTGATTGGTCTGTTCAGATTCTGTTTCTTATTGATTCAGTTTTGGGAGGTTATATGAGTATAGGAATCCATCCATTTCTTCTAGGTTATCAAATTTGTGGGCATACAGTTTTTCACAATAGTCTCTTATAATCCTTTGTATTTCTGCCGTATCTGTTGTAATTTCTCTTTCATTTCTAATTTTATTTATTTGAGCCTTCTCTCTTTTTTTCTTGTTGAGTCTGGCTAAGGTTCTGTCAATTTTGTTTATCTGCTCAAAGAACCAGCTGTTAGATTCATCAATCCTTTTTACTGCTTTTTTAGTCTATATTTCATTTATTTCTGCTTTGATGTTTATTATTTCCCTCCTTCTGCTGACTTTGGGCTTTGTCTGTTCTTCTTTTTCTAGCTCTGTTAGCTGTATGTTAAGATTACTTATTTGAGATTTTTCTTGTTTGTTGAAGTGGGCCTGTGTTGCTATGAATTTCCCTCTCATGACTGCTTTTGCTGCATCCCATAAGAATTGGTATGTTGTATTTTCATTTTCATTTGTCTCCAGTTATTTTTTAATTTCCTCTTTGATTTCTTCAATGATCCAATGGTTGTTCAATAGCATGTCCACATATTTCCGACTTTCCCAGTTTTGTTCTTGTGGTTGATTTCTAGCTTCCTAGCATTGTGGTCAGAAAAGATGGTTGGGATGATTTCAATCTTCTTGAATTTATTGAGGCTGGCCTTGTTATCCAACATATGGTCTATCTTTGAGAATGTTCCATGGGCACTTGAGAAGAACGTATATTCCGCTGTTTTTGGATGGAATGCTCTATATATGTCCATTAACTCCATCTGGTCAAGTGTTTCATTTAAATCTGCAATTTCCTTGTTGAATTTTTGTCTGGATGATCTGTCCCTTGAAGTAAGTGTGGTGCTGCGGTCCCCTACTGTGATTGTGTTGCTGTTAATTTCTCCCTGTAGGTCTGTTAATAATCGCTTTATGTACTTTGGTGACCCTGTGCTAGGTGCATATATATTAATAAGTGTTATGTCCTCTCAATGGAATTTCCCTTTTATCGTTAAATACTGCCCCTCCTTGTCTCTCATTGTCTTTTTTAACTTGAAGTCTGCTTTGTCTGATAAAAAGTATGGCAACCCCTGCTTTCTTTTGTTGGCCATTAGCTTGAAGTATTGTCTTCCATCCCTTCACTCGAAGCCTATGTTTGTCTTTGTAGCTGAGGTGCGTTTCCTGGAGGCAGCATATTGTTGGGTCTTGTTTTTTAATCCATCCAGCTACTCTATGTCTTTTGATTGGAGAGTTCAGTCTATTTACATTTAGAGAGATTATTGTTATATGAGGGCTTAATGCTCCCATTTTATCTCGTTTTCTAGTTGTTCTATGTTTCCACTGTTTCTCTTTCTTTGCATTTCTGACTGCCATTTCATTTTGTTGGTTTTCCAAGAGGGATTTCTCAGTTCTCTCTCTTTGTGAATTGTGGTTTTGCTCTGAATTTTTTGTTTAGTGGTTACCGTGAGGATTGTATGAAAGATATTGGAGATGAGACAGTCCATTTTCTCATAGCCTCTTATCGCCATTAACCTAAGCAAGTTCCTTCCATTTCCTCTCCCCTTCTGGGTAACTGCTGTTACACAATGTTGTTTTTAATTTCCTGAGTTTGTGGCTAAGTTGAAGTGTTTATCATTGCTTCTGACGCTTTCTTTCCCTTTCTCTTTTAAGTTGTAATTGAGTCTTTACCTTCCTATTGTGGTAGAGAGCTGCAGGTTTCTGATCATGTCTATTTATCTTCTTGCTCAGAGCTTTGTTGACCTTCGCCTTTTTGTTGCCAGTGTGAGGGCATCTTTAATTATTTCTTGTAGGGGAGGTCTGGTGGCAGTGAACTCCCTCAGCTTTTGTTTATCCGGGAAAGCTTTCATTTCTCTATCGTATCTGAGGGAAAGTTTTGCTGGATAAGAGTATTCTTGGCTGAAAGTTTTTGTCTTTCAGTATTTTGAATATATTATTCCATTCTCTCCTAGCCTGTGAGGTTTCTGCTGAGAAATCTGCTGAAAGCCTGACAGGGCTTCCTCTGTAGTTTATCTTCTTGTACCTTGCTGCTCCTAATATTCTTTGTTTATCCCAAACTTTTGCCATTTTTACTATTATATGCCTTGGAGAGGGTCTTTTCACATTGATAAAGTTGCACATACGATTAACTTCGTTTATCTGTAAATCTGAAACCATCCCCATGTTTGGGAAGTTCTCAGCAATTATTTCTTTGAATAAGCTCTCTGCTTCTTTCTCCCTCCCTTCTCCCTCTGGGATACCTATAATCCTTATGTTGCTTTTCCTAATTGAGTCAGATATTTCTTGAAGAATTCCTTCATTTTGAAAAAATCTTAGTTCTGTCTCCTCCTCCACCTGTAGAATTTTTACATTTTTATCCTCAAGAAGACTAATTCTTTCCTCCATAAGATCAATTCTATTTCTTAATGATTCTAGATTATTATTTATTTGTGTTTTTCATATCCAGAATTTCTGCTTGATTTTTTTTATAGTTTTAATCTCTTTGGTGAAGAGATCCATTTTATTGCTGGGCTCCTTGAACTGTCTTTCTGTGTTTTCTTGTAAATCGTTGAGTTTCCTTATGATGGCTATTTTGAATTCTCGGTCATTTAGCTTGTATATTTCTGTATCTTCCGTGTTGGTTTCTGGAGAATTGTCATTTTCCTCCTGGTCTGAATTGTTGCTGCAGTTTCTCATGGTGTTTGATGAACTAATCTTTTGTTGTGGCATTTGTGGTATTCTTAGGATGCAGATTCCCCCTGTTACCGCTACGGGGGAGCAGGAGTAGTGTTTCTGGCCGTACCCCATCTGCTGGAAGCTGTGGGGGTATTATGGGTGCTTGCCCCAGCCTGGGATTCATTCAGGCACTTGTGTGGACTGTCCTTGTCAGGTGGGGCTTCCTCACTAGGCTAGGGCCACTCTTTGGTGCCTCAGGGACACTCTGAGCTCCCCCTCCCCACTGGAAAGTGATCACTAGTGGGCTCAAAGCTACCTCACCTATTCCCACAGCTGCCTGGGACATGTTCCCTCTTTGGGAGCACTGCTGCACTGTGAGCACTCATGTGTGCCTGGAAGTGTTTGTCCCAGCACAAAAATCTGGTGAGGTCCCTTACAATCCACAGTCCGTGGTGCCACTGAGCTTGGTGGGCAGGGCTTCCAGGCAGAGACCTGAGCTATGGCTGCTCCTTGACAGCCCTGGGGCATGGTGGGCTCCCCCTCCCCACCAGGAAAGTAAGCGCATGTGGGTTCAAAGCTGCCACACCTATTCCCACAGTTGCCTGGACTGGTTACCTCTTTGGGAGCACAGCTGCACTGTGAGCATTCATGCACACCTGCGAAGTATTTGCCCCAGCTTGGAAATCTGCTGAGGTCCCTGTTTATGATCTGCAGTCTGTGGGGCTGCTGAGCTTGGTGGGCAGGGCTTCCCTGCTGGGACCTGGGCTGTGGCTGCTCCTTTACCACACCGGGGTGTGGTGGGCTCCCTCTCACCACTGGGAGATCAACCACGAGTGCAGGCTAAGGGTTACCGCTGCCTCCTCTTATGGTTGCCCTGCTGCGTGTTTCCACTTTCCAGGTGCTTGCACCAGGTTGGAGTGTTCGTGTTGCATGCACAGGGTCAGCGGGGGAGAACAGGGTGTGCTCACCTGTCTCCATCACTTCCTGGGGGGCCAGTCCACCCACCCTCAGATTTATAGCTGCATGTGTCTCTCAGGCATCCTATTGTGCTGTGTGGGTTTCCTCTGTTGGTCAGTAAGTGTCCATTTAGTTATAACTCAAAAGGCAGAGAGAGGAAGGGACTAGCTCACTCAGCCATATTGCTGACGTCACTCCTCCCAAATGTTTTAAGTAATAGCAGCTCTATGGGAATAAATTGAATTGCAAACGAGGATTCTTCCTTATAAAATGATGTGACATTTGGAAGTGTAGCTGTGTTGGCTTAAACCTTAGTTGCATTACTTAACAGTAATAACCAACATTTATGTAATGCTTTTCTGTTTACAACTGATTTCTCAATCACTTTTCTCATTGGAGGTCTAACATAATCCTGTGAGATTACTCTGACGCAGAAAAGGAAAAGGTCCTTGATCTCTGCTCTTTTCCTCTTTCTGACAGCTGGAATGGTGGTGACCACAGTGCTCTTGGAAGCCCTCCATGTTGAAGATGGTGGAGCTTTTCAGCCTGGGCCCCTAGTGACTGTGTGGAGTAAAGACACATACCATTGTGAATTGTTCACCCAGTAATTTTTTTTTTCTTTTAAGAAGGGAAGCCCACCCGTTTCTACTCTCCCCTTTTTTTTTTTTAAGATTTTATTTTTCCTTTTTCTCCCCAAAGCCTCCTGGTACATAGCTGTGTATTTTTAGTTGTAGGTCCTTCTAATTGTGGCATGTTGGATGCCGCTCAGTGTGGCTTGATGAGTGGTACCATGTCTGCACCCAGGATCTGAACTGGCGAAACCCTGGGCCACCGAAGTGGGGCTTGCCAACTTAATCTCTCGGCCATGGGGCCGACCCCTCTTTTTTTTTTAAATATGGTTTTAAGGTATCCTTTTTTTGGTGAGAAAGATTGGCCCTGAGCTACCATCTGTTGCCAATCTTCCTCTTTTTTCTTGTTTTTTTCCTCCTCAAAGCCCCAGTATGTAGTTGTATATCCTAGTTGAAGATCTTTCTAGTTCTGCTATGTGGGACGCTGCCTCAGCATGGCTGGATGAGGGGTGCTATGTCTGCACCCACGATCCGAATGGTGAAACCCTGGGCTGCTGAAAGGGAGCATGTGAACTTAACCAGTACACCACCTGGCTGACCCCACCTAGTAGTTTTTATGTGTGAGAAAAATAAACTTCTTTTTGTTCTTTAAACCATATTATTTGAAATCTTTCATTATATGACAACTTCATCTTTTACCATCTTTCTGAATTCACCCGTACCATTTACATACCATTTGTTATCACTCTATCCAGTAAACCACGTGGAGGGCAAGCAAATGTTTGTCTCAGTCTTTGCAAATGAGTTGATTCAGTTGGTGTTTCCTGCAGCCTTTTTTCACTGCTACTCAATAGGTTACTTCCTTCTGTTGGTTCATTTCCCTCTGTACCTTTGAGGTTCATAACTGTCTCCTCCTGTGTTTAAAGCAATTAAAAAAATACTTAAAACTGTATATTTGCTGTCCATTTTTATAGTCACTGAGCCACCACATCACGAATAAAATTTCCATTTTTAGAATTAAGGGTAACAGTTCATAGGGGAAATATACAGCTTCATTTCTAGCTAATCAGCTACTGCTTGGAACAAGAACTCTCTTAGGGGTGTTTACCACTGAGTCACTATTGTAGCATTATAAATGCCTGAGTCACATACAATGTCATTACATTTGCAATACTGTTTAAAAATTAGCCTATTTAAGATATGATTCAAAGCAATAGTTGGTAAATATATCAAAGTGGTTCAGAAAAAAAAATAACTATCTGTGATGAAAAACAATTCACATTCATTCATCTACTTGAATTTAAGCAATAAAAACAGAGAGGGAAGAAACCAGAAGCATTCTAGGGTTTAGGCTGCGAACACAAAGCATTTCACAGGCTCTCTATTTCTGCAGTTTTATGTAGGGCTAGCTGCTAAAATGACTGGGAAAATTGGTAGTCACACCTACTGTACAAGCTTGGGGATTAAGAATGGGAGAATTGTTAACTGAGTGACAGAGAATGAAGAGGACACATTGCTATCATAGATTTGGAAGTCCCTTCCTTAAGGAAATGGTTGAGATGGTCTACTCTTGATCACAGATTTACCTGGGTTTCTTGATCCGTAGAGGCTATGTTATTCATCTCTGTGGATGGTGCCAAATCTTCATGTTCAATTGTCTTATCTTCATTCTCCATGATTGATAATTAAGAGTAAGATGATAGAGGGAAAAGGAACAAGATCTGTTCTGAAGGAGAAACAGTATAGATATAGAATAGCAATTTGGGATTTAAATGAATGAATCAGACAGCAATTTGAGCCATTTAAAGGAATGAATTGTACTTATTTTTCCCCTTAGAACTCTGAATGGCTAAGATATTTTAAATTATTCTTAACTTTCAATTGCTAATCTTTTCTTTGATTACAATATATTATCCTATTGCTTATCTACCTTTTTATCTCTCTTAAAAAAGCCCTTGTTGACCATCATATGTTCATGATTTCTCTCCCATCCTGTTTTTTGAGTTATACTTTACACATTCCAGGCAATATTACTGTTAAATTGTCCTCTGTAATGGGCCAACTTGATGAAGCAGGAAAGCTCCAGGTAATTTTCCAATGTTGATAGAGGAAATGAGTCACCAAAGAGAAATCTATGGACTCCATCATTTTCAGAGAAACCAGAGTCACTAATTCCTGCCCGGCTCTTATTTCTGAATTAAAGTAAAAAAATACAACATTGATTGAGTAGCCACAATGTCTCAGACACTATAAGTGCTATGGTAGTCTCCTGCTGGTTATTATGGGTAACTCAAAGATTGCCAAAACACATTCTTTGTTTTCCATAGGCTTATGGTATGCCAGGAAATATAAACTTATACCAAGTAACTAAAAACTTGTAGGGCAGACCTACAAGGTTGGCTTCATAAACACCCACTTCAAGCTTTTCTCCCCTGGCTGCCCAGGCTATAGAGGCTGAAAAGCCACATAATCCAATTCTTAGCCATGTTTGCAGCTAGAGGTAGCCATGTGTCCCAGCTCTAAGTAACGAGACATAAGTGGGAGTCCCTGGGAAGGGCTTTCATTCCCAAATAATAAGGGAAGGACTTTTGAGAATCATACTGTTTACTTTTCACCTCTAACATTTCCCTTTCTCCTTCCTTGGATGTAGATACACTACCTGGGGGACAGCAGCCCTCTTTCCACCAAGAGAATAAAAAGCCTTATACCAAGGAGAGTACAGAAGTGGAGTGGCTTCCCTGATGACATCCTTGAGTTGCTGCATCAGTCTTGGGCTGCCAAGCTTTGAGGTAATGGTTTAAACCACTATTAGTCAAGTTTTCTTTTTACCAGTAACCAAAGTTATTCCTAATGCAACATGTATGATGAATATTATAGTAGAGGTACAAACTACAAACCTAGGTAGGACCAAAGGAAAAATTATATAAGAGAAGGGAAAATCTAATTCAACACATATTTAAGTGCCTAATATGTGCCAGGCACTATGCTAGGCCATAAAGACAAAGATTAATTAGACAGGACTCCTGCCTCAAGGAAGCATTTTCTGTTTAACAAAGTGCCAAGATGTTTGAATTTAAAATTTCAAAGAAAATTATATCCTTTCCACCACGACCACCATCACCACCACCATTTTTCTTCCTTACAAAACAGAGTGTTAGCCAGAAAGGCATCTCAAAGAACCTTCAGCTTGATTTTTATTATGTATAATAAACATATGTATACATGATGACATATTATATATATGTACATATAATTTTTTGAATTAAAAAACTTACTCCAAAATTTAGACTCATAATGAGAAAGAACAGCATTTTGACAGGAAAACGTTGGGCTCAGAAAACCCTTGTCTTAAAGGCATAGAGGCATGAAAGCCAGTGGGGTGTGAGGGAAACTTTGCTGCTCCCACTTTGCATGTAGTAGGAGGCTGAGAGTAATGGGGGAGGAGGCTAGAGATTTGGAATATCATGTCCAAAACCATGCGGCTTGGCCTTTACCCTCTGTAGAGAATGACCCTTAATCTCAGAGTAAGTGACGAGGTCTGCTGGCTCTGGAGTTGGACAAACCTGGGTCTGAAGTTCAGCTCTATCGTATACCAAATCGCTTAGCCTCTTTCTAACTAATTCCTTATCTACAAAATGGAGACAAGAGTAGTTCCAACCACGCACACGAAAAGCATCCAACAGTGTTGGTTATAAGCCACTCATATTCCTTCTCTCTAATTATCATAAATCTCTAAGAATCCTTCTGCTTTTCCTATTAACCTTGAAGAATTTATTACTTAAGCCCATTGATTTTCTTTGACCATATTTTTTACTTCTTTCTGTCAAGGCCAGCTTCTTGATTAGGTGGATGTTAACACTCACCACTGTCATTTCTTCACCTTTCTCTTTAGTAGAATTACATAGAAACTCTTGGGCAGCGCCACTAGAACCACCTCCATCAAATTCTCAAAATCAGCCAATTATGCTACTTACGAAGAGTATTTTTAAACAGCCAACAAGTACAACTGATTACTTCTAGTAGAGATAAACTATTGACTAAAATGAAGCCTTTGAGAATTTATTTTATTAATGTTATTCTGGTCCTTTTTAACATAAATGATCAAAACTTGGTGTGTTGCACAGTATATGATATCTGTGGAAATACATAGTTTTGTGTTTCAAAAAAATTTCCCTATTCTCCCCTAAACTCCACCATGAATGCTAAACTACTTATCTGCAATCAGAGCAGTATTACAAAGAGGAAAGGTAAAATAAACTGCCAGTCTTTTAGTAAGTCCAGTAAAGCAACTTACAGCTGCTCAGCTTTGTTTATTCTCTGCTGTTTTCATTTCCAAAAGAACACGTAAGCTATCTATCTCACTTCAGAAACCCACTTAAATTTAGAAAAATCACAAAAATGTAACTTTTACTTAAAGCAACCGTGTTCATGGCATTTACTGTTCATAGTCATTGGATCTTAAAATTACAATAGTATATCACCTGTTAAGAAAGCAGTTTTGGCAAAGAAATCAGAAAATATGCAGAAATGACTTTTTTTTAAAGACTGGCACCTGAGCTACCAACTGTTGCCAATCTTTTTTTTTTTTTTTTCGCTTTTTAACTCCCCAGATTCCCCCGAGTACACAGTTGTATATTTTAGTTGTGGGTCCTTCTAGTTGCAGCATGTGGGACGCTGCCTCAGCATGGCCTGATGAGCGGTGCCATGTCTGTACCCAGGATCTGAACCAGCGAAACCCTGGGCCGCCGAAGCAGAGCTCACAGACTTAACCACTCGGCCACAGGGCTGGCCCCCAGAAATGACTTCTGAAGGGCCAAAAGAAATGTGATGAAATCCATTAAAAAGTAGAAAGTTTATACCCCTTACTCAGAGAGAGGCTCTCCAGTCCTCATTCAGAGCCGATTAACTCTTATTTTGAAAACAACTCTAATGACTTTGCTCATCTGGTTTCCAAACCCTCAGAAGATAAGATGTTATAAATTAAAACAAATGTATGAAGAGATTGTAAAGAAGCAAACTGACAACAGCACGAATGACAGCTGACAGTGAGAGAGATGGAAAAGAGCAATCTAGGTGTACAAAACGTGGGGATAAATCTCTTTTCCACAGGAGTATTTACAGTTTTGTCCTGCCAAGTGTCTCTTCCCCTCCTTTTTTGGCAACAGCACACTAATTTTCTCTTGTGGAATCCACAGCTCCCCTAGTCTCCATCCATGGTTCATGTGAGGCTCACATCATCCTCACCTCCCCAACCCCCTACTGCACCAATGTTCCAGAGAGGGGGACAGGCCTAGACAATGAGGAGCTCCTTCCCTGGTCACACTGACTGTTCTAGGCATGAGCAAGTGACTCATACCTGGCTAATGAGAGTCAGCTTTATGGTGTTTCCTGGAATCACTGGGAAAGAGCTTGCTTTCTTTTAGAGTTGCTAAGCCCAGACTTGCTGTTGACAATCTTTGTGACATACAAGAAAAGCCTTCCAAAGAATGATCATAGAGCAAAGCAGATTCTGAATATGCAAAGAGAGAGAGAGAGAGCTCCAGATTAATACTCATATTGTTGGTACACCTAGAAGCAGCTCCTTTCAGTTAGATGAGCCAATTAATTCCTTACCAGTTCGAGCTGGCTTCCTGTCACTTGCCACCAAATGCATCCTTCATAAGAACCTTCATACCTGAACTGCCCTGAAAGATCCCCAGTATAATAAGAGATGTTTAGAAAGGTGATTCTACATCTCCAAGAAAAAGAAAAGAAAAGAAAAGAAAATGATGTGGGGATATTTTCTGTTATTAAAGGCATTAAAATATATAATACAATTTAGAGATTTTCTTTAAAGAGAATGTTAAAATAAGCAAAAATCTGGTATTCAATAAAATAGGTGTCAGTTATCCAAAAAATAAATTTAAGTGAAATGCTCTTTTTTTAAACAATGTTGGTTAAATAAAATACTCTAGTTAATGGACCTTAATTATTTTTTCATTGTGTTCACGGAAGACTTTTGAAGTCCTCAGTCCCAGGAAGGTTTAAGAGAGCTGTTAAGCATCTGAGATGCTGAGTATCTGGGATGGAAAAATGAAAAAGTGGGGAAATTCAGAGAAACTAGGTGGTTTCCAAGAAATTAAGAATCACAGGGTAATGGTATAAAAAAAGTTGGAAAGGTCTTTAGAAACATCCTAGTCTAATCTCTTTAACATTCAAATGAGAAAACTACTGCCTAGAGAAGCTAAGTAACTTTTTCAACTAATAGCCAATGTCAGCCAAGCCTCACAGTAAAACCGTGTAAAAACTTGTGAAATGAGTTGGTTCTTTAATCTGTATCATTGACTTCATGCATCTCTACCAAATCACTACATTATATTTTTACATTTTTGCTATAATATTTTATTTAAAATCCCACTCATATATACCCATAGTTAATTCTAAATTTGAAAACACATTCCACGAGAAGTTTGAAAACATCTTCTACAAGCAAATATAAATATTTTTATTTTCTACCTTGTATTATGTTCAGCTTTACTCTTTCCCATTGTTAGAAATGTTAATAGAGTTTATTATGAATAAAAAATTGTACTAACCTAAATGGTTGTACAACATTGGTGACAAAATGAATGGAACGAGAACTTTTGTCCTATTCTCATGACAAATATTATTTACATATTCTCAATTAATAGTTAACTGGCTGACACCTTGCCACTTAACCATGTCTTAAGATTCTAAGAATTAAGG